CGTTATGTACAACAGAGTGCTCGTACAGATACAACAAAAACGATCACAAAAATTTTGGCTGAGTTTCCATGTAACTAAAAATAAAGAAACTCCCGAAATGTTCAAAAAACCACATTTTCAGCCAGTGGACAGGCTAGAATAAAAATCGTCAAAATACATCAATTAAGCCGAAGGCTTGACTAGTCTATAAACAACAACCCTAATCTCAACCAAAAACTGCACATCCACAGCAAGTTCCATTAAACTGGACAAGCACTGGACCAGTCAGCAACAATAATAATGCCAGCCAAAGGAGCCAACCATTTATCTTACGGCACCGATCATAATGCTTCGGTTGGAAATCGATAGTCTCTGAGCCCAGTGCTCTTGCGGTAGCGCTCTCATCCCCACCGACTACTGATAATTCGTCAGCTACCGCTCCACGGCACCATTAAATGCACTATGCCAACAATAGAGGCATCTTTCTAATGGGCATACACCCACATCGTGTGCTCATCAAAGACATCAAAAACTTCAGCTGTTCTTCGATTCAAATTCTTTGTAGATCACTCCAACCACTACAGTTAAGTCGACATTTTGCGTGACTGCGACAGAGTAAATCACATAAAGGACACCGGTAGGTGCGTTATCAGACTCTCGTTTTTAGTAATTACAGAAATGATACATACTTGGTTACTTGGCTATCCAAGAACTAGGGTGGCGGATACCTGTTACGGGTTATTTCTTGTTTAAACGATGATTTATTAAATAATTTCAAATTATACACCGAGGCAGGCTTTTTGACGTTATAACCTTACGTAAATACAAAAAAGTTTACTGAATCATTTAGCTACCTCCATTCATTTGACATTAAACAAAATATAAAGCAAATAACTGCGTACAATATGATTTAGCTGCATACTCACAAAATAAGGACGAAAAATTGAAAATTCTCAAGAGAAGAAAACTTTTCATTGCCCGCATAAGGCTGTCGCCAAAAAAAAAGATTGAGCCGAAACGATAATATACTTTAAACGTCTCCCTGCCACGGCAGGCATCTGAAATGCTTTCTTAATTCATCGGAACCTGAGGTCATAATTCATAATTTAAAGTTTAGTTCAACTTTACCAACAACATAGATCAAAAAGTGGTCTGTCTAATTGTTTCGCGCCTTATCCAAAAATAAGTGTCATTGGCATTTCCACCATGTATTAACTCCTGGACCCATTAAAAACTGGTAACAAACAAGAAACCCGATACTTTTCGCTTTCTTCTTTTGAGTCATACTAAAAATTTCTTGCTCAATTATATTTAAGTTGCTCAACTCCATTTAATCCCCCAAGCGATTATTTTACAGCAGTTCAAAGCATTAATAACACTAAAAACTACAAAATATTAATCGGTAATTTAGCTTTTCTTCTCTTTTGCTCACTTTGAAGTATTTCTTTTAATCAGCATAACTTTTTTAAGAGAGAATAATGCGTTGTTAGATAGCTATTGTCGGTTTTGAAGCCTAAAACTGTTCTTCGCACAATATCTTTGCCGACCACAGTTTTCACTCTAGCAGCACACCGGGAAAGAACAAAACCGATATCAGCGTAAAGAGCGTATCAGGACAATATGGCTAGCCGTGGGCAAACTTCTCATCCCCATGTCTACATCGTTCCCAACACAAACCTCCCTTTCAGTAAGATTACAAAATGAACGTTCAGAACTTTTGGTGAAGATAGTTGTAACAATCCTTTTCAATCTCTGCATTCCGAATTTTTTCAAAATCGTTTTACTTTTTTTCTGCAATTCTACTTAAAGTGCACATTAAATAACTCTTGCTCCGTTCCTGTTCAGGCTACTCTTCGATTTCCCAACTGAATATTGACAAGTTTCTGCTCACCTGATTGAATTTTTACTTTTAAGAACAAACAGATTGAAAGAAAACAAATATAACTGCATCTTTAGTTCATATTGAATAACCATTTAGAAGAACCAACAATTCGAATATTATCAACCAAGGGATGTGTGGAGTGGAAGCTGCAATTACACTACCAAGTTCTCTAATCTCCTCAAACAGCATAGTGGTTTGGATGTCTAGGGTTTCCGCATAAGCAATACATTGCTACCGTGTAGTAAATTCGTTACAGTATTTCAACTGTCAAAATATTTCAGTTCTCCAGCTAAAATATGCCAATTATCACCGTCATATTTGTATTGTACATCACACAACGGTCACTCAACGTTTATTGGTTCCGAATTAGTCTTGTGGAACATCCACAAATAAAGTTGCATTGAGTGAATGAAAAAAGAAAAAGGAAGAAAAGCCTCTATATACATGTACAACTCATCACTGCATTAGATACATTTATATTTATTTCACAGTAAGTCATTTAACCAGAAATTATAAGCATCAAGAGAACCGGGCTCGAGACAGAAAAAAAGCACAAGAGTCATAGAAAACAATCCATGGAGACAATGCAAAAAAATCTTGGACGATCACAGTAATAAAGATGATTAGCAGATCTTAGAACTACACAGTAACATATACTACATCTGAGAAAATCAAGTGAGCAAACCAGAATACCGGCTTAGATGTTCTTAATATAACTACTGCTCAATCTTAAAGTTGACAGTAGGACTGGAAACAGTTTAAACAGTTGTCTATCCGATATCAATAAAGTGTGTCTAAAAAACAGGCTGCAAGCAAACTTGTTATTACTTTCAGATACTCAGAGAAAATCACCCGGTCTTTACCGGTAGGTCGAGATCTGTCTGGCACTTTGTCCGGCCATGCTGTTGGCGACAAAGACTAGGTCAGCGTCCATTCGTTATTCATTTGCTCGCATACGGTCCGATAAAGAAATACTTTTCGATATTCGTTGATACAAATTTGCGTCAGAAGCAAACTGAACAATTACCCACCCCATGTGGACAAAAACTGTCTCAGCAGACTGTATGCAAACGCACTATCGTCTTAAACGCTGCCCTAGAGAAATTTGCCAGCCTCAGTTAAAGGCGCGCTGCATGGGGGGAACGGCTGTTTGTTTCTCGTTTGTCGCGTACAGTTCGCATGGACGGGAAATGAAGCCAGACACATTGCAGTGTTGACTTCTATCTGTCTCGCAAATGAACAAAAAACAAATTCAAAATTCAAACTGAGTGTGCAAAAGAAAAGAAGGATTAATGGAAACAACTGTTAAGACAAGTTCCAGTAGAAAAGATTAAAAGACAAATGATAATCATCCAGAAGAAAAAGTACACCTGCTTTAAGAAAATTCTGACTTTGCTAAAAAAAAAAAAAAAAGAGAAAAGGACATAAAAAAGACGACAATGGTAGCAATGATGATAAACAAAAGAAGAACAATAACAATAAAGTAACAACAACAAAGTTTTCTTTTTTTCTTCATATTTTCAAGCCACCTTTTCAGTGTCACCAATGTTATATTTTTTCCTTGAAAAAACAACAATAAACAATATAATATATACAGAAACAAAAGCAGAATTGCAACTTAAACATACAATGATTTTGGAATTAATCGAAAACCACCTGGATGTCGAAGCATCGTTGAGTTCATGTGCCTCTAGCATAACGGAAGACGACAACAAAAAAATACGTCAGAATCTATCAGAAGATCATCACATAAATACAATCAACAGCACAGGAGTGACGAAGAGCCTAAGCAAGTGCTTCGGGCATCTTCGACGACAAAATTTCTTTACACAGTGGCTTGAGATCAAACTTGAGTATCGCCCCCCGATAGCTTTGAGATATTGTGAACAAGGTCCACAAGATTGACAGCACATTGCCATATTTGACTGGGCCTTGCTTTCCGTGCCTAAAACCATCTATGCATATACCAGGCTAATCTTCTTCGCTATCGAATGCAGACGACAGCCTTACTACCACTGATTTTTTCTTTAATTAACTGGCAATAAGAAATGATTATATACTATCAAAATTACTGTTCTCTTTGGTTTGAATGACTGTTAGTTTTCTAATTTGCTTAATAAACAAAGTGATTTTAGAACCAGTAGCGGCCCAAAATGAAATTTCGACTGCGTTTTAGAAAATCCTGTCTATTATCGAAAACCTGACTCTAAAAGTGTCAGTAGGTAAACAGTGGAGAACAGTAACATACGTGTTTAACATATATTCAAAAAGAACGTCCAGCATTTCTTGCCGTTTCTTGAACAACGAAGTGCAACTTTGGTTTGAAAGATTAAAGCATTCTGCAAACAGAAGTCCATTAACGAAAAAAACTTGAAGAGCTACATAACTTTTACAATTTTTTTGACACCAAATTTATTTCTCGCAATATTTATGGTCATTATTTCGTACAGTTGAAACAAACATGAATGAATACCTGAGCGTAAAAATACGATAGCCTTGAAAAGCACGAATTCTGTCCGGTCAAGCTCAGCCCGGCTTAGGGATTCCAAAACCAATAGTACCACAGCTTCTTCGCTGTTTTTTCCCTCCTCAAAATGCTCCATCACTTCCTTTCTGCAACGGCAACAGCATTATCACTTAAGACTTAGAAAATTGAAAACCATTATTTGGTGTTCAGAAAAACAAAGAGAAAGCGCAGAAGTTTACTGTCTAAATAATCGCAGCCAATATATTATAATGAAAAGAATAACCTCTTGCCGTCATTAGAACTAAAGTCCTGATTTATTAAGCTATCATCGTCATTTAATGCTTTGTAGGCACTCTCAAGCAATTCCAAGATTAAAGTTACGTCGCGTAACAGTGTTATCTAAAGAAATAGTTTATTAGAAGTGACTTTTAATGCTGACAGAATTTTCAGCAACAATTATTCCAAATTACCAAAGTTTAAGTTTCAATTGTTATTTTCTTTTTTTTTACTAGCATACTAAAAAAACAAATACAGTATTAGTATGATCAACTAAACTATAATGAACTCTGACACAAAAGACTGCGCCTGATGGCGATTTCCATTCTCAAATCAAGCAACAACTTAAGGATGAATTTATTAACCTTATCAGTCAGGGGCATTCGTCGAAAAACATCAAACGACTTGGCATACTCAATAACCATAGCGACCCCACGGTTCAATGCTTCAGCAACCTCCAATTTTCCACAGGATTCCCCAACCTGGAACCAAAAGTTGACTTAGGTGGTTTTGAGTGCAAAAAAATATAATGATGTGTAAAAATATATATGTGAATTTACTACATGATTTCAGAAAAACATTATTTGACCAGCGACGGTTATTTTCAACTGCTTTGAAAATATGATTTATAGAATAAATTCTTCCGTGTGTTTAATTTCAGTGTCACTAGAAAACGGTAAAACAAAGAAATATTCTGTGATTAACTACCGCAGGGGAATGCTATTTCAGAAGACAACAAAATCCGCTTCTCAGTCCCTTAGTCATGATCTTCGTATATCCAAAAAGTTGACCGTATCGAAAAAAAATTTAAAACCAATCTTTTGAGTTTGAAAAGTCGTTCAAAAGAATGACAAAACAATAACTTACTAGAGAATTTTAGCACTAAAATACCAACAAAAAATAAAAGCAAACATACTCGGCATTGGTCAAGTTCATCCAGAACACAAGGCCGAGACAACATATCTAAAATCGAGTCGCTGGCTTCGTATCTTGAGTTGTATAAAAGATTCAAGCGTTCTTCAAGTTTCAGAAATTGATTAATTATCTGTAAAAAATGTGCGCACTAAACATTTAATGTTAGACTGTTTTCAATTAGTGAATCTTCTAACGAGCTGCTCAAATCTAACAATAGGTCCATTGATTCGGTAGCTCCTACCAGTGGAACTATTACAGAACGTTCACATTACTTTTACTCAATATTGTCTTGGTAAATTTTAAAAAAGCTGCTGGAAGCTAATTCGAAACACATATGAAAAATAATCATCAATAAACGCCTACTACAGCGCTGGACTTCAGTAACAAAGAAAATTAAATATTAAAACATAAGAAACGGCAGTGATTTACGTACCTTGTCATTGTCATCGACTCGGGCCCTTTTCGTTGGAATTGGTTCATCACATTCCACGACAAATTTATCTTGTTGAGAGGTACAATACATTGAAAGAGCCCTAAAAACACAGACTAGGGCCTTTACTATGAAAACACGAATAGGTTTGAAGATGATTACAGTAACGATAGAGCATGATACAAACTGCCGATATGGGACACTTCATTCCCAAACACCCTTTACAGACCCGTCCAACACGAAGTACGTCCCTATCAGAAAAATTTCAGGCTGCTGAACATAAAACCTAACATAACTATGATTCCGTCAAGGTTTTCAGGACAGTCAACCTGGGACGACTATAGAAGTCATGTAACTGCGCCAAGAACAAGCTAGTCTTACTACAAAAAATCAAACGTCTTTTCCAGTTGAGCATCGATTTTTTCGCTAGCCTTTGCTTTCTGGATGACCGTGCTGTAGATTTAAAATACTTTTCTGTATGTCTAAGGTGTTCATTAATAATCATTCTATAGTCATTACAAAGTTTCCAGAATGATGCCACTTAACTATGTTAGTTCCAATTACAGACTACCATGCGTTCTCTCCAGGTACGCCCGCGTACCTTTCAAACCTTTCAAGCACCGGAATAAACCTTTAGCATTACTGACACATCCGAAAATCAAGGCACGATGTGAGCAATAAAGCCAATTTCCACTCGCTCCTAAAAATCACGCAGTAATCTCTGACCGAACCAGCACAGTTGAGCGTCCCATTTCTGGCGCGTTGCAACGGCTATAAACTGATTCCGGAATGAATACTACAAACAGATGAAAAGTCTTTCTGCACTACAGCGGGCTTGTATAAAAAAAAATGAAATAAAAAATACAAATGACGCTCGACTGTCCTTTATAGACTGGCAGACTTAAGTAGATCGTTATTAAAACATTCTAATTACTGTAAGTTCATACCAGAATAAATATCGTGAAAGCAGTCAGAAAAATACAACCATCTAATGGTCTATATTTGAAAACTTAAAACCGTCCCAGCAAACACGAATTTTACTTGGTAGGACGTTTGCGAGCACTTTGGGAACGAAATGCCCCATAATAGTGTTCAAATTGTTTCATCCTGGAAGTTTTTTGGCGAATCTCAAAAAAAGCAGCGCTCCACACAAAGAAGTAAACGTTAAGCATTTTTAGGAGACCAGACATTAAGACAGAAAAAGTGTTTAAGTACAAAAAAAAAGTGAAATACACTCGGTATGATAGGAGCACACAAAAAAATATGATGGAGGGGGGGGGGGAGGAAAAAGAACATTAACTAAATTCTTACCTCTCTTCCGCAGAATCTTCCGACAGAGTGCCTCGCGATAGACCAAGCAAAGCAGAAACTGTATATGGCCTTTTATTCAGCGATTCCGAGCTCAGTAAACTAACGGTGGAAAACTTCGGTTTCAGAAGGGGGCTCGACGTTTGGTCCGCTTTAGAGCAGCTTTGTACCTCCGAAAACATGGCATCTTCTGAGTAATTAAAAGCATTTGCTGTCGCAATTTTCCCTGTTCGATTACACTGAATTGCTGTAAAAAAAATTACCTGCTGTGAAAAACTGCCACAAAGCGGAAAAAAGTTATTTTAGTTGATATTTATTTAATCGCAAATCATTTATTCAAAAAACTCTTCCTTCCCTTTCCTCCTCTCTACCCCTGACAGATGTAAAGCAACATGAAGGAGTGCACAGTTGAGACCTAAGTCGACTACATTTAACCATTTTATTAATATTCTTGTATTTAGTGATCAATCTTATAATAATTCTTACTCGCTGCCTTCAAACTTTCAATTGTAGAATTTTAAAAACACCAGATATCCAAAAAGCTATTTCCTGTAAATGCGAACTTTCCGGAAAAAGAAGTAACGTATAAAACAGTGTCGCTTTTTCAGTCTTTAAACTTTATTAATGCCAACTGTTAGTAGTTTTAACAGAAAATTAGCGACAGTTTCTCATAAGAAATAGCTTTGCTGCCTAATCGGTTAATACGGTTTTAAAAATGCCGAATAATCGGTTTACTAGGCAATGAAATTTTGGTTTTTTAATCGTATTTCGCCAAAATTAGTCACAAAGTACGAAAAAAAAAATGGGTATCACCTTTTGGATTCATACCTACAGCCAAACACTTTGAAAATCGGCAAGCACGACAAGCGCATCTAATATCTGAAAACTTTTGATTTGCTATTGAAACAGACAGCAAGCATCATTGAAAAAGAAATTAATAACAGCCATCCTTTTAGTCTATTTTTTACGATTGTTAATCTTCCATTTGGCACCAGCATGAAGTTTAAAAGCTAATGTTTCACTTTAAAAACGCATTCAAAAAGCACTAATAAATAGCACAAATTTATAGTCATCGTTTTCATCAGCTGGCTTTGACGCTAGTCCCAATCAGCATGCACAGTGAAGTACAAAAATAAAAATCTCAATCCCATCCAAAATGATAACATGACCAAACAATAATAATGCATACTAGTATAGTTCTTCTTCCTCACTGATAAACAAAATCAATATCGTTGAATAAAAAAACGACAAAGAATAAATAAAAGTCTAGAGATGAAAAAAAA